CTGGCGTTAGAACGTTGCCCTGAGGGAACCAATGACTACTGCCAAGTCACAAACTGAATGAAAGCCTGCAGCAGTCCAGACAGACAACAACGGACAGTGGGACAGACTCCGAAAGGTCAGTTGGAAATGGGAAAACAATTGTTAGAAGAAAAAATAAATAACTTTTTTTTTTCTTTTTAGAGTCGTGCATAAATCACTCCAGTTTTTTGCTTTTTTTTTTTCTTTCTCTTTTAGTTTGGCCACATGCTACTAGTACGATCCTCAGTACAAGTGAAAAGAAACAAGGTACGGTTAGAATACCTAGAAAATGTGCTGAAGGAGGTGGGAGGGGAAGGGATGTTAAGCCACAGGATTACATACAAGAGAAACCGTCAAGAATCACAAAGAGAAAATGAGAGGTAACACTTCATCTATCAGAAGGTGAGTTAGGGAGAACAGATGAGAACATTACATGGACTCAGTACTTCAGCTGGCCCGTGCGTCTTCGAGCCAGTTTTGACCTGCACAGGAGAGAAGTAAAGAAGTATTTGTTGAATTCTGGAAGTTTATTGTTCTTCCCTCCCCACAGTTTGTCCAACCTTTTTCTTAAATCCTGTTGTATAGTCCTAGTTTATTCCAAACGTAAAACATATCAAGGCTGTAATGAGAAAGACTTCTTACTCCTCTGCTGTGCTCCTTTAAAGGAAGACAGGATCCTTTAAGGACTGCGCTGTCAAGAGATTATTTGATGTTGTACAATAATAGTTTAGTTTTTAATTACCTTTACCAGAAATGAAGAGCTACTGTAGTGTAGTAAGAGCTCTCCAGCAAGCAGGGGGAGTGTGTGACCTGTGTTACAGGAATGGCTTCTAGAGAAACTCAAGAAAAGGGAAGGAAATGAGAATTTCTGCTTTAGCTCACAGCCCAGACCTGCCTGCACAGAGGGAGTAAGAAGCTTTATAAATCTGTGCAACACCCACACAAGGAAACCATTTTTTGGCCTCCACAAGCAGTATTGCTTGAAGCTTCTCACACATGTTCAAACTGGACACATCTGCTAAGAATGTCCCACAGCAAAGGAACAGCCACTGCACTTCTGAAGTACAGGACTTGTTTGGTTTGATTTTCCCTTTGTTGCCCACCCTCCCCCTTTGGTTCACCCATCCCATTAAATTCAGAATGAGGGTAAATTCTGTGACAAACCATCAGCCTCCTGCTTATGACTCTCTCTCTTTGTGCTCTGCAGCACTGTCTGCCTGGGAGCTGCCTCTTACCGTATTGTGCCAGCAAGAAGTGGATTGAAGGCATATAACCAGTCATTCATGTCTTTGTCATTGATGGCCTGGAGCAGGACCCCACGATGCTTTGTGCATACACCAAATGTGTTGGGTGTCTGGAATATTAAGGACAATTTAAATTACTAAAATCTACAAGCACATGATGCACACTTCCTCTGTGAGGGAGAGTTTGCTATGGCACATTCCTGAACACCACAAGACCTAAGGTCTTTCATTTAAGTTTCACTGGTCATCCCTAGGATATTATTAGTCAATCAAAAGGAACATCTTCTACAAATTATAGGTTTAACTCATACGTGTGGACTTTAAGAGCCGAGATGGACCAGTAAAGTTAATTTGATTCCTTGCAGGATGTTTGTGTGTGTTGCTTTGGGTTTTTCTTTCTAAACAAACAAACAAACAAAATACACAACCCCAAAACACCACAGAAACAAGACTACAAAAAGCAAACATAGAAGGGTGATGGTACCAACATATGCTCATAAAGGAAAATACAATTTGTAACAGAAGCTTGTTTTGGTCTCTTGTACAACTGTGTCCAAAACATAAGAAACCCTGAACAAACTGGGAACTTTGTGGGCAGAATCATCAGATACCAGACACTGTCAAGACACAGATGCATTTTCCTTGGATCAGAGATGACACACAGGATTGTATGGGTGCACTACTACCTGTAACATTCCTGCTCTATGGGTAGATAAATGATAGCTGCAGACTGACCTTTACCATTGCCTGCTGATCCTCACTGTATTCCACCTGAGCTGTGGATAAGTTTATGATTCCTCTTTCTACAGGATCTTTGTCACTGTTGTAAATGAAAACATAGGGACGACGAACCACCACAAAATGCTTGGCCCAGGAGCTGGAGAGTGGCTCTTTGAAGTGGAGGTATCCCTTCTTTGAGACCACAGAGCTGGAAAAAACCAAACCCACACATAAACAGGAATAGATTTGCCCCTAGATAAGACACCTACTAAGTATCCCTACTAACTGCAAAGCACTGTATAAGACGCTTGATCCCTGGTACATCTTGTCTACAACAGTATTATGCAAAAGGTCTATAGCAAGCTGAATTTTGCCTTCAAGAACTATGCAAATGTCTGACAGAAAGAAGGAGCCACAAAGACCTCTACTTCAGTGAGCTTCAGCCATGGTTTTGATGATAGCAGACATTATATTCCAAGTCATTGAAAATCCTATTTATTAAGTAGATGCAGGGAATGAATGCTGCAGAGATCAAGTATCAACACAACCTTCAACAATACAGGACTGCAGTCCTGCTGTCACCTGTTTGATTTACCTTCCTGAAATGGGGCATAAAACCCTACAAATCTCAGAAAACCCTTGTGACAGCTCTCAGGAAGCCATGGTCACACCACAGCAGAAAACTCACCCTGGTCTGATCTCCTCAATATCAGGAACAAGGTTTAAGAATTCATTCTTTCCAGCTCTGGCAAGATAGGAAGTTTCTACTGCAGGAATTATCTGGAACTGTTCCACCTCATGACAGGGACTGGAGGCACGAGAATTTGCTTCTGGTGTTCTTAGAAATAAGAGTAGAGAAAGAAAAGTAAATGTGATAATGGAATTTAAAGTGCATCCTCAGCCTCGCCTGTCTTACAAGTTTCGTCTTCCAGTTTTGTATGACATTGGGATCCTGTTGTAAAGTAGCAAATAGTTTCCCTTGAAGTCTGTGGAATAAAACTTAAAATAACTGCTAGTAAGTTGTTTCCCCAGTACTTCTCCCTCGCTTCTCTTGCCCAGTTTACTACGGTTTCATTTAAAAGGTACTACTTCATCAGCACTCCTCCTCTCAGGGATGATAGGCTGAGAAGCTACAAATCACATGTCTTTCAGTAATTAGTCCCAATTTAACCAAAAATACCTTCTCTAGATACAGCTGAGAAAGATAAACAGAGATTATTGGCCGAACTGGTTTATTCTGGGTTGTTGTTAGTAGGCCTTTTTAACAGAGGCCTGAATAAAACTTGTGGACGCTGCACACTGACGTTGCGCTGGTCACTGGAATGACAAACATCTGACTGTTCATTCAGCACAAAGAAAAAGTAATTCAAAAGAACAAAATGGGGAAAAACAATAGTACAAAGTGATTGGAGAGGATAAGGTTGTACAAAGAAACATCTGAAAGCAGGGAAAAGGAAGGAAGTAGGGCAAAGTAAGTCAGAAAACATAGCAAAGAGATTTGTGATGCACTGAGAGGAAACGTGTTTCCATGAATACCCCATACTTACTTCTGGTCGATTGAATTGCATCTTGAATCCACCAGAGAGGGGCAGGTAGATGAAGGTGTGAGGGTGGCACTGCTGAAACTCGACACGGATGGGTCCCGCCCGATGGGGGAAATATCTGACAACTGCAAGGACAAATTCAGAGAGGCATTTTTTGGTAGCTGGTGCAGTCCAGGCTAGAACATGGCACTGAGCACGCGGGAGGCTCAGGTAATAGAAGCTATTTCTAGCAGCCACTTCCCCACTTGGTAGTCAAATTTTCACACACAACCATCATAAACCCATCCAGGGGTGAAAATACAATGGCACTTCTGTAGGCACAGCTTGTTACTAACGTCCTAAACTTCTGATTATTCCCACCCTGACTCCCTCAACAGAATATCAGACTATCCAGTGTGCACCTTGGTGTCCCCTGTACCTAAAGTTAGTTTGAAAAGCCAATTTATCCTTTTACAGCAGGAAAGTGTACGTAGGGAAAGATAAGAGCACTTCCAGCCTGCTAATAAACTAGAAGGTATATATAGCCCAAGTTCACACCATTTCTAATTCTTGCAATATGAATAATTCCAGCCAAATGCTTCCAGCAGACTAAAAATGAAGGAATTAATACGAAGTGTTTTGTCTCTTCACAGTATCAACAGATTCCACAAACATATTGCTATTGTACTGCAAATATAGTGTTGCATGAAATATTTACCTTACAATCACTGATGCTGTTGTACACCTGGTTAAATTCCCGATTGAAAGTGTGAGTAAGAAGCTGCAGACACTAAAGTGGAGAAGGAAAACAAACACAGAAAAGGATTTTACATTTAGATTTTCAGAGAAATTCGAGCACAAGAGGCCCTTTGCCAAGACAAATTTGGCAGCTCATGAAAGGATAAACAGGATAAAAAGGATAAATTAGAATGTTTCATTACAGAACTACTAATGAAGGGGGGGTGAGGTACCGCCATAGCACAAACTGAGCCACCAGCACTGGCTGCTGAGCACGGATTATTTCACATTAAAATGAAACTCACACAATAGTGGATATTCACCATGCTGGGAAGCTCATCATTAATGTTTAAGCATCTTTGACAACCCAGTTAGACTCATGATGGTTTTCTCATGTTATACCTTGGTGGCCAGCTCTTTCTCCCGATCCACCAGGCTTTCTATATCTGCTGAGTCGTAGCCACTGCTCTCGCTGGGTGTCACAGCACTCTCAAATGTTGTAGTTGAAATCTGTGAGGAAATGCTGGTGGAGGTACTGAGGGTTCCACTGCTCAGACTGGGAGACAGTGAGTCACTCAGGGACTTGGGGATGCTGTCACCAAGCTTTTCACGAAGCAGAAGGAAGTGTCGGGTTTTTTCCACCTAGGAAGAAAAGAAACCAGTGTCATCTGCTCCAGGATGCTGCTGACTTTACAGGCACTGAATTCTTATGCATTCGTTTAAGAGTCATACCAGTAAGCATTTATAGAGTTTACAATGGCACTAGAAATTGAATACACTGAGTTCTGAGCTGAAGATTCTGCTCAGCAGTAGACTCTTTCTATCTTCTCTGTTGGGGAATTTACTTAAATCTTGACTTTGGGAACAAACTCCCATCTGGGAACCCATTCAGATCAGAAAATCAAACAGTAGGTAGACTAAAGGCAAATTCAAAGGTACAGTTGTGCTTTTTCTTCCCCTTCCCCCATCTCTTTATTCACCTCATGCAGCAGCTCCAGTTTCTCCAGTTCCCACTGATGCTCAAGAATGAGGCTGTCACCCCTGGGCCTCCAGCCGGCCAGATTCTCCTCTCCTCGCACATAAGCCACAGATGTATCCAGGACTTTCCTCCTCCTCCTCTGCATTCCTGAGCAGTAAAAAATGACATCAGGCATGTTAAAAACAGAGACTGAGGGATGCCACTAAAACACACTACCAATTAGCAATCTGTGAAGAACTAACACTTCTGCTGTTGGGCTGGAAATAAACATGGCAATGATGCCATTAACAGCAGTCACACATTCCAAAGAGATTTGATTTCATCCAGTTTTCTTCATTCAGGTATTTTCTATTGACCAGGATATACTGCAAACTCCTGTTCAGTCTAATTCAACACAAGAACTTCAACTGCTAGGTCTTCAAGGAAAAAAACATTGACACTACATGAACTACATTCCTTCCAAGTTATCAAGCTTGCGTCAGGTATCAGTGTATCTTCAACACACCAAGAGAAAACTCTGTAGCTGCAAATACAAGACTCACCTGTTTTAGTTGTGAGCCATGTACTATGACCCCTAAGTTTGACTCAGGCACATGCTCAGTTTCCTGATATACCCATGTCAGAAAATGTAAAGCTATCAGTGAATCCTTGGTTCACCAACAGTAAACACAGACCCAAGTGGAAAATAAAAGCCTGTGTAAGGTTTTTTTTAGTGGCATAGCAATGTTCCACTGCTCCTATGAAACACAGGAACTGCTTCCCATCAGGACACAAGTGTTTACTCCATTCTGCCCATGGAATTTTCTGCAGTATTTCATATTTGTCACTTGAACACCCAGTCACTGCTTACCTGGACTTCCTGTGTCTGCCATTTTGCACAAACTCAGTTCATAGATCCCAGTTACACGATTACTGTTCACAAGAAACCAGAGGGGAGAAAAAAACCTATTAACTTCAGATATGAAGTGCATTAGCTTTAGTTAAGTGGTCTCCAAATGAGAAGTTTAAGCATAGCTGTTACTTAGAACTACATGTGAATTCTAATCTTGACATAAAATAGCCAGGACAGACAGCAAGACCTCTAAAAGTAGCGTTTCCTCCATGCTCCTCCCCACCCCCAGTTAGAGTCAGCAAACAGCCACTGCAGTAAATTCCAGATCAGGATCAGGGTCATCCATGTACAAGCTTAAAAAAACGGATTTCTGTTCCCAACTGTTCAGTCAAAAGACTGGAAAAGGGGTTAATAAAGAGAGAAGCCATCAGGGTTTCACTAAATAAATGCAAGAATGGATGTCCAAAACCAGTCTGGAGAACTAAAACTAGGTAGGATTTCAAGGAAGAAATAAAGAAAACTAAGCTGCGTTCTCCCGATGCCCTCTAAGAGAAAAAGCATACACTGACATAAAGCACAGGTACCAAAACTGCAACTGAACTTACGAATCTGGAGATTTGGAGTAGCCACTGCCGAAGAGATTGCGCAGTGATCGTGGTGGGGAGATCTTGGCATCTCGTGAGTAAAAGACCATACAAACATCCTTTGTTATAACTGCAGGCTGGATGCAGTGGTCAAGCTGAAAGGAAGAACAGCAATGAATGAGTGGCTGCAGACAACCATGCCAAGTTACACTGCTTCCCTCTTTTAGTGGGACAGCTTTATGAACTTAGTTCTTGTTTGGGTCTTTGGTGAAGGGTTTTCATGTGTTCCCATGAAAAAGAACTGTCAAATTACTTGATGAATCTTGTAGGTGAAATACTTGTACTACACAAGATAAAAGTACCTTGTATGCAAAGCCAAAAGCTAGGCCAATGTTTGTAACATTAGTAGTACTTACATAGCAACGTTTGTTGATTTCAATGGCTTTTCAGATACAAAGGTAGATAAAATGAGGCACAGAAAGAGAAGGAGATCACCAGTTTCACTTCATATTTGCTGTGAGGTAGAGTAATACCTTGACATTTGTAACACTTTAACTGTGAATAAATGTTTCCAGCCTGTTCTCAGAAAATGAATAAAGACTTTCCCTGGCTTCAGGATTCAAAAATCACTTAGTCCAGTGAGTATTATGTCAGGTACACACTGTCTGCTGACTCAACATTATACTTGAGTCACAAGCAAAAAGGAAGGCACAGGTCTCTAACCTCCAGGTAAGCAGAAAGGGTCATATATATCTTCTCTCCATATGGTGTCACTCGGTTGAGGAGAAGGGAGTTATGCAAGGAGCTATCCCAAACTGCTTCAAAACGATAGAAAGTCCTGGAAAAAAGGACATTAAAAGCTCAGTAGTAAGAGTTCCTCTGCATCCCTCTGAGCAGTGTAAAGCAGCTCATCCTTGACATCATCCACTATGACTCTCAGTGGCTCAGATAACAAATAGTTGAAGCAAAGACCTTCTCTTCTTTCCCAAGATAACTTACTTCTACTTCAAATCAGAATGATTGATAGGTAGGGTTAAGTCCTATAATCAAGCGATAGATAAAATAAAGATTTCTTTCTATGTCTCTACTAGATTTAATTAAAACTTCCAGATCTAACACAAACTTTTGCAGTTGAAAGGAAGGAGCTGAAAGCTCCCACAGTTCTGCCCCAGCAATCAGGAAAGTTCATCTGTTCAAGGCAAAAGTGAGAGACAGCATCATACACAGGACAGCAACATCATCAGATCTAGAGTCACCATTACACACTCTCGAACAGGGGCTATGGGAAATGAGCTTTCTCCTTTCCCACAAGTAGAGGCTGATTCCATGTAGGTTCCTTTGGAAAGAAGTCCATACACTTATTCAGGAATGCAGCCTGCTTTTCTTCACTGGTAACAGAAAAAGAATTCTTCATCACCTCCCTATAATTTCCCTCCCAAATCCCCTTGCCACTGAGGTTTTCCATCCCACTTCAAGTCCAAATGATGTGGTACTAAAAGCAAGTGCTTTATGTATAGTATTTCTTCAAAACAAGTTCTATCTCTGAAGAGCTTCTCTACTAATGCCCAAGGCCAACTAAAATGAAACAGGAGACAAATGACAAAAAGCAGGGTGGGGGTGGAAGAAAGAAACAACAAAAGCCAAATCAAAAGGAAACAAGCAGCAGCCCAAGAACAGACATATCAGAAACAAAGTTCTGATCTCAGAGTTCCCAAGAATCTCCTTTTCCTGACACCAATTACACACTTCTCAGCCACTACATTGAGACACCATGAACTGTGCGGTCAAGTAATATAATCTGAGAATATTGCTAAATACACTGTCTGCATTTGAAGCAGGAATTACTTCTACATGTCCTGCTTCTACTAAAAATGCTACACAGAAATATATCCTAAAGGCTAAGTAAGCGGTAACTTTAAAAGCACTGTAATGTACTCATCTGTACTTGAGTCAGATTAGGCAAACGCCACGGGTTGTCCTCTAACCCTTTACAAACCTGTGCTAAGTCCCTATGTTTTAATCATCCATTGTGTCTTAGTCATGAGAGCAATCTTTTAACTTTTAGCAAGCTCCAGATTTACTACCCGGACAGAAGAAACAGTAGTAAAACCTGGTTGTGCACAGATGGGAAAGCCAGTGTACCTCACCCCTGAATGAGCTCTGCACCATTTGCCAAACATGACTCCTCATCGTGAGAGGACACAGGTGTAAAAGTTCATCAGTGCAAAACTAAACACCTCTCTTCAGCAAAATGATGCTTTCTGGTTAAAAACCGAGCAGAAGTCAAGCATAGCCTCAAGACAGTTAGTCCATTGGATTTTGTCTAGCCAGAAGGTTAAATATACAGTCTTGCCTTTCCAAACCAGAACTTGCTAGAATAGTTGTAGAGGGAGACAAAAACTAGAAGTGAGCAAACTTCTTTCAGCACAGTCAACAGCACAAGAGGGAAAAGGGAGCATAGAACAAGCAAAGAATGGAAAACAGGAGAAACAGGTTAAAGGCCCCAGTGTATAGTTAGGACTGATTTTGAGGTGGATTTTAGCATTAGGGGTGAATTGAGAGCATTGAAGACGAAGTCTTCTCTTTTTCAAAGAGGCAGAACACAGAAAGAGTGCAAATTGCCCCAGATTGTGCAGCCAGAATGCTTGGCTCTGACCCAATCTGGAAGGTGAAAGAGGAATCCAGTCTGAGCAGCTACTACATGTCTCACTTCTCTGCCAGCTGGTAAACTAAGAAGTATCAGCCACATGGTTAAATTTCAGATGCAAATCCAACCTAAGAACAGAGGTTGAATGACAGTCACATGGCAGCCACTGCTTTTTGTTCCATGCAATTCTGAGCTGGAATTTCAAGTATCAATCATTCTGTCCCTGACTTGGTACTTTAAACATAACAAGCATTAGAGTCAGAGACAGGAAAAAAATCCAAATTTAGTTCTTTGATACAGAACAAAGGAAGAAAATAGCAAGGACTACAAATAGGAACCATTCTGAAAGCACACTTTGAGAATCAGGAAGACTCAACAAAGGAAGCTGTCTCTTCCACGTGAAAGAAAGTTTGCTTTCACAAGTCCCCCACTGAGTTGTACCTGAATAAACCCTTGACACAAAGGAGAAGGTTGGATACCACTTCTGGAAGAGCTAAGAGGAGTGCTAACAGAAATTGGTAAAAGCTAAAAGGGAAGTGGCAGCAATACAAATGGGACATAAAGCTTCTTGAAAATAGAATGCTTTATGTACAAAGAAAGCAAACAGAAAATACCTAGGCATATCCTTATCAAGAAAGAGCCTGTGAAAACACAGAAAGAGCTTCAGTTAGTCCAGCCAAAAGCAGAACAGAAAAGCAACAGCTGAGAGGACAGAGCAAACAAAAAACCCACATCAACCAGAAAACAAGCCTGCAGACAATGAGCAAACATGAAACACACATAATCCTTTACCAGAGCTTCAATCCCACTCCACCACGCTGCCATACACTCATCCCACGAATTAAACCTTGGCATTTTGGTAAGATCTGGTCAACAGCTTCATCTCACTGACACTCATCCTTCACCCAAGCGGTCCCTCTAATAGAAAACTACAGAGCTATATAGGAATTCCTTGAAATTGCAAGAGAACAGGAAGTACAGAGCTTGCCAACTGCAAATCCAAGAGTTTCAGACTCGAAACCAGCAACGTTCCAGTTATACTGATCCATTAATCCAAATACACTACGTGTAAAATACCCAGTTCTCAGTGGGAGGCAGAGAGCAACTGCTAAACCCTGCCACTGCCTGTGCTGACTGACACTAGGTGGCAGGAAGACATTCAGCTCTAGGAGCAGCATCCTGATTCCACCTTTAATACTGCAGTGGAATTTCAGAGTCCAAGCCTCTAATGGAGAGGGAAGAAGCCATTTCATTGCCTAGGTGGATACTGCCTGCAGCATTCAGCAGCTGCAGCAGAGATGGGCTCCAAAACAACCCCCTCCCCTCCGGAAACCCTCATTCAGAGTTCAATTTCAGAGATATTCCTGCTTTGCACCAGCTAAACAGAGCCAGGAGAGGTCAAATGACTTGGCTGATGTCAGAGGAGGGAGAGGCTGTGCTGGCAATGCAGCATTCCGCTTCCCTGCCCTTTGTTGCAGACACTGAAGCAAAACAATGTGGAGTCTGACTGATCCTTACAGCAACGCACCCCAATGAGAGAGACAGCAGCCAGAAACCTCTCAGATAGTGGCCCTGCTGTTGCCCAAATGATTGCAGATACTTGGAACAGAGCCCCCCTTATTAGAACTGGGGTTAATTTGTGATACATCTATATAAATCCACAAATTATGAAGTTTAATTTACACAGCATGACTCTTGCTTAAATTGTCACATGCTTGTTCCAGGAATAATACAAGTATGTACAATTCCATAAATACATCCCCAAGATCACCCCTGTAGCTCAATGCTGTATTCTAGCAACAAATCTTGATCACAGTTTAACAGTTCTGGGTTAAATTCTGAGAATCCCTTAAGCTGTTCCTTTCCATCCTCCCTCTAGGATGCTTACACATGGAAAGTAATTCAACTGCACTGGAAGCCCTCCACCCAGACCAATGGAATTCAGCTTTAGCAAGAGTATACGGTAATGTTCATTCTCCATTTCTAGGCCCTGTGCCTATGGAATTTTACATTTAATAATTAGCAACATTCCCAGCTTTCCAGATATCCTGCCAATGCATTGGAGATCAAAGAAATTTTAGCTTCCTGCTAGAGTGTTCACTATATTCACTTACCTATTGGAGCTGTGAGAGGACTTCAGGTATTTTGCAGAGATAATATTCAAAGACAGAATAGCATCCACAGCAGCTTCATCTACCTCTGCTTTATTTCTTATACGCCCTGAGAAAGGTAGGAGGGGGAAGCAATTAGAATGTTAAACACAGAAAGAATTTGTTTTCTCAAATACCATTTCAGACTATGTGATTAAAAAGCAACTGTGAGTGGAAATTGCAAAACTTGGTTTTGCCTCTGGATCCTTTTCAAAAGCCTCCTCTCACAGCCAATAGTCATAAAGATGACAGAATCTGGTACAAAGAGAAATTACCATTAGTGCTTTTCCTTCCTTCCATAACAACATATGAAACAACAGACTCACCAACAACCAGCTCTCGCACGTCTTTCCAGTGCAACTCACTGCCCTTCTCATGGATGATGGTGACTGTGATTCTACGCTGGATTCCCTGGTAGAGTTCAAAAACAAAGCACTGGTGAAGTATTCACACACGCACAAACATCACCTATTTTGCACTTTGCTTCTCTCTTCTCATTTCACAAAGGCAGAATTTTTTAACCTAAAATAGTCCTGAGATTGTTGCCATGCTCTCAAAGACGTGTGTTGTCCCTGGAATATATCAGTTGACCACATAAAAAAGGCAAATACTTAGTTAATGTGTGGTTATATACTTATATTAAAGTGTATACATCAAAACAACTGTATACACCAAAAGAAGTTACCAGAAAATAGCAACCATTCATTCAGACATTCTCATCCTTTATCACACATATTTGTTACAGGCCAAAAGATAATAAAACTCTGTAATAAGCTGGGAAGAAGGTAAAATTGTAGAATAAACACCACATCTGAAAAATTCCCCAGGTGTTGGTTGCAACAGAATCCACTCATCCAAATGCAGAAGACAACTACCCAGGGAGAAGGTGCTTTATGTGTAACTTTCCAAAGCTGAAAAGTGTTTGCCTACATTGTGGATTTGACAATGGGATTGATAATGGGATTAGAGAGGCTACAATTACTCTGGTTTGAAGTGCAAGTAATTGATGAAGACACCAGGGAATACGGAACTAATATTTTTATTCATTTTTAATAAGGAAATTATTGGAATATGGCCATTATTCCTAAGCTGTAAGAACTGTTCTTATAATTTTAAAAAGAGAGAAGAAATGCAAATCACAGATAAACTCTAAGAAAAGGACCTGAGAATATGAGAGTAGAAAAACCGTAACATAAACCTATAAACAATATTTAACCAGGATTATCTTCAGAATTTAGCTAAAGACAAATTATTATTAAGGATTATTACAGGCATTTAAATGCACTGAGCCATGGTTATTTTGTAGAACTGGCTCATAGCCACATGCAGTGAGACAGAACCAATGAAAGTTGAGTCCATGTGATCCTTCTGTGGCCTTGCTAGAAATGTTGGCAGAGCTCTGAAGGCACAAACCTGGTCCGAAAGGTTCCTGTTTTTTAAAAGGCTTTAATCTTCCATGAGTGGAATGATAAGCAACAGACCAGGGGCCAAACATATTCTCATAGCCCAAAGCTAACATGCTAACTACAGACTGACATATGACTTACTGACCCTACAGCTATCATTAGACAGCTGTGTGGGAAAGGAGGAGACATGAAAGATGCAAACTCCAGTCATTAGCCTTCTAACCCCCCTCAGAGATGAAACTTTCTGTTCTACAGCCTTCATTAGTACCTGGTGAAGCAGGAAGGTCCCCTGACAGGGCAGGCCTCCAGTGTGGTCCACAATAGCAGGAATATACCTGTGTGAGACAGTGAAATCAACAGGCAGGAAAGATACACTTCAGCACAGCAAATTTACTCTGTATTCTCCTGCCAAGTGTTACCTCTCCATATAATAAGTGAATAAACAAGAGTGTTTCTACTGACTCTCAGACTGGACTCTTCATTGCACCACAGTATCAGTGAAATATAGAAGTATCACATACTGTATTTCCTGTACTTCTGGGTAACTCTGTGGAACTTGCTTCTTAATATAATCCCTAAAGACCTGCCAGGGGAAATCCTTCTCCGTAGCAGAAATGAACATAAAATAGGGCCTGGAGTTTCTAGTGACCCAAAGAATCTGAGTTCATGGCCTAAGTAGGGTAAGTTTTCCCAGCACCTATTCAGCTGATGTGCATGGGGCTTTCAGAGTGGAAGGATTACTGAAGGTAAGGAAGTGGAAGGATCATGAAAGATCATTCTACCTCTTAAGTCCTTTCCAATGGGGACAACGAATGCCATCAGAACTCACACCCAGTCACTACAAACCAGCCAGACCAGTGCCCAATAACAATTGCTAAACATCAGCCTGGTGTGAAGGGAACAAAGGGTAAAAGATCAAACTCCCATCAATTGCTGCTCTTACAGCATAAAAGATGAATACTGGACTTACTCCCCTGTTGGCTCCAGTTCGCTGATCTCAAACCAAACGAGGAGGTCGTACTTGCTCACACTATGGCCCAAGCTGGGTTTGCTCAGAGTATTGAGCTTTGTAGCTGGCACTTAAAGAAAGAAATAAAAGAAAAAATGCATTTGCAAAGACTGAACAAGTGAAGCTGACCCAAGGGCTGAAGCTGACCCAAGGGCTCATTTCAGTGATCCTATGTGCAGACCACATCTTTTCCTATGAAAATTGTTGCTTACAATAATCATTTATTAAAGTGTTGGGTTTTAAATCTGAGTTACTAGATTTAAAAAAAAAAAGTTAAATAATGAATCAAAAGTGTATCCAAAAAGCTTGTAGAAATATGCAGTCTCTCTAGATCCACAGAAAAAGAGGTTTCCAAATGTGCATCGGTTACTTTATGGCTTTAATGGTGATTTAGAATTGCTTAGGTCTGTTCATCTGAAACATTACTCACCCATGAAGTACATTTCCCTTTCCCCAAACAAGGAAAGGGGAAGGGAGAAAAAGAAACAAAATCAAGAACTTAAAGCTTCAGTCCTCTCTTCTTCATGTTACAGATTGCTTGACTCCTGTACCAGTTTAGAGAATGTGTCGTAAAAAAGCTGAACAAGACTTACTCCAGAGCCATAATCCTACCAAAGTCTGTCTCTGAGCTCCTTATGTTTTGGTATTAGTGATTACTTCTGGCCAGATCCTCTCCAATTCCTTTCATGCAAATGTAGGGATAAACCATGTTTAAAAAACTAATGGGTAAGTGAAATTGTAAAAATAACCTGATATTCCTTCGCACACGCTTACACCACACCTTGGAGCTATCATTACATGACTTCTCTTATCTGTTCACTCATTTCAGTTTCTAAATGGGAACATACTAAAAGCTCAGTTCCTGTGTACTGACAGGTCTTTTTATAACTCTCCAACTGATGTACCTTTTTTTCCTCCTTTCCCTTATTAACCTCATTGCTTTTAAGAAGCCAAACAATTATTCTTCCTTCTAGCTTCTCAAGCTCCATTCTTTCCTTGCTCAATTGTAATTTAGGTTATTCTATCTTTACAACTCTGTGTATCTTTCAGGTTCCACCATGACGTAACCTCCCATGCACTGGAAGGGCAGAACAGTCCCCAGTTAAGAAAATGCCCCCATATGTGTGCCTGTGCAGTCTCTTTGAAATAGTAACAATAATAATAAAATGTGTTTCTTTTCTGGGTAAAATGGCAGCTTCCTCAGAGGGACAGAATTTACAACAATCAGTTATTCACAGCACTACAACTCCATCATGCTAGGTAGTAAGCCTCAGTGTCATCATTTACTCTTCCTGTTCATTACTCAAGGTGGCCACTCTCTTATACCCATCATATCATATAGCATGTGAACTCATTACAGCTGGACTCTGCTGCTGACAGCAAGAGGAACAAACACACACTTCGCTCAAGTTTACAGCTAAGCAGAGAAACTCAAAAGCACCACAAGAGAAAAACAACAGAAAAACACATTAAACTAAACATCAAAGTCAGTTCTAGAAGTTCTCATGGACTTGCTTTGGCACAATTAATAACCAGTGTGTGGGTTGGGTTTCTTTGGTTGCCTTTTTTCTAATGTGAGGAACAGCACTACTAGTGGCAAAAAAAGATGATGAACAAAAAGCAAACCTATGCAGAACACAGCAGAACATTTCCCTCTATGGCTGTTTTTTCATATGCAGCATGTCTCATCCCAGTATCACAAAACTATGTACAGAACACACAAAAAAGCCCCAGAGATCCAGGAAATTTCAGGGAATAGATCCAGTCACACAGAAAAATCTGTGAAGCCTAGCACAGTGGAGTTTATAGATTCTCTATAAGGTTCTCTCTAGAATAGCCCTAAATTAAGCACAGCATCATCCTTCCAAGACCACAACCATGGCAGTTTCTAGTCCCAAGAATACTACACAGTAAAGGAAGAAGGAATTTTGGAGCACGTTGTGGAACTACTTCTACATCTACCACAGATCAACTTTGGCTACTAACCATCTCGTTTAGGAGCCCGCTCACTCTGACAACTGGGAACAGGCAGAAAGAGAAAAGGTGGCAGCTGGTCAGCTCCATCCTGGAAAGCAGCCACGGCAGAGGATGCAAGCACGTTGGCATGCTCGGATAGCGTGTTCAGCACATGCACGTTTACATAGCCAGACATAAGATACCTAATCAACTCAATTTTCCTTTCATGGTCTGCAGAGGGAATGGAACACACACAAAAAAAAAGGATGGTAGAAATATGCAGGTGAGAGAAAGCTGGAGAAAGAGGAAATTAAAAGGTGAAATGAAAAACAAAAGGCTCAGAAGAGTTCAGCATGCATCATTACAATTAAGCAAAGAAAACCGAGGATCGTTTCAACAAGACTTCACTGAACAAGAATGTTAGAGAGCAAAGAGATGAAACAGTTAATGAATAAGCAAATTTTCAGTCAAGTGGTCAGTAAGCACATAAAGAGCCATAGCCAGATCTCATGGAAGATGGTCAACACTTCAGGAATGAAACTCTACCCTTTCATGAACCAAGAAGCACTTCCTGCAAGAGGAGCTTGAAAAGAACACATAAAAGGGAAGACAAAGAAAAATCCAATGCCCTTTGCAACGTTCACTCCATTACATTTCTTGGTGTCCTGACATGTGACGTACACAGTTAGAGAACTGATCTCACCTGGCTTTGAGAGTGGCATAGGGGGAGGAAAGAATCTTCGGGAAGGCTGTGGAGGGCTATAAAGAAATGAAGAAAGTTATCAATATAGAAGCAGCTAAACAAAAAATATATGCAAATTCACACACGTGCATCTATGTACACACAGGCCCCCAGTACAGTCCTTCCACCCATTTCTGTCTTTCAAAATATCCTCACTATCCCATGAAGACAGGTAAGTATCACCTGTGAGGAAAACAAGTGGACTCAGCACACGTCTCAGACCAACTGATGTCCTTATTCTATTCTAACTTAATCAATCCTAGCTGTCAGTAAAAAATTATTTACAGTTTCCAACCACTCCACCCCCATTCTGCACTGAAAATTCAAGCAGGTAACAGGCATCTCCCAAAATAACTTACGGAAAAGGACAAGCCTCAGCTGGCACTTCCTCTTAAAACCAGCACCTGCTTCCTCAGCCTCTTCTCTTAAGCTTTGAGGGCTTAGGCACTAGCGGTCCTTTCCCCATTCCAAAAATTCAGCAACTTGGGCACTAGTATGTCAAGAGGCTGAGAACCCTTTTTCCCCCCTAATCTCTTGACTCTCCTCTTTTGTTACCCAACCTTTATGCATCAGGCCACATGCCCTGAGGGAACACTGCATCTGAGAGCACTGTTAAGGTTTACCAGAACTCGCTGAGATCACCACTCTAGTTCCAAGTACAATATTTGTAGGGTGGATACAGCTGTATTGGCAGAACAGCTTTCCATGTTTGAGCTGGCAGAACAATTCCATCACTCACTAACACCACATACTACACTAGGAAAATAGGCTGGTGCCAGCACTCTTACCACCTCACTCAGGAATCCTACTTGTGAGGGTGTGCCTATATAATATCAGGAGTATGAAAGAGTACTGCCCACACTGCACAGCTCACCTGAGCATGATCACAAACAGCCTTTATGCCAGAATAGTGAACAATACCTATTGAGATCCTGTCCTTGCAGATGGAGAGGATGCTGCTGATAATGTCCAAAGACTTCAAACACAATAGGCTTGGTTTTGATGTACTCCACAAATGATTCCGTCACTTCCACAGCAATCTATTAGGAAAAGTAAGGAAAGAAAATGAGACATACAAGGAGGAAATTCCTTTTTGGTTTAGGCATTAATTCTACTCTTTGATAAAGGAGAAATGAAAGCCCCAACATCAGCCATTTTAAGCAGAAAAGGAGGCTACGTGTAACTGAAGGATTACACAGTTCATAAAAATAGATATATTCATCTGAGATCATAAGCACTGCTTTTAACACAGATTTTATTTCCTGAATGCTAAATTGCTTTCACTGAACATCCTGGGAAGGAAACAGAGAATTCAAAGGCAGGAAGTAGAGGTGAAACAGGAGAGTTATATCTGCCACACAGAATCACTGTATTTTCTTCTCCACTGGGGATTATATCATCCACCTGATCACTCCTCCTACTGTCTGCTCTTAATATTCCCCTTTCCTCCCTTTCCCATACACCTCTCATGATTATAACAAGAAAGATACAAACAACTCCCAGTGCTAAAACAGGCATTTACTATCCATGTGAAGTTTTACTTACATTCTGAACATGGTAAAACCCAAGGGGAGTCCCTCGACCATTGTTTTTGAGAGGTTCTGTTGAGAAAGCTTCATCGTGTCGATGTAAAAAGCTTTAAGAAACCAAACAAAAAACCCAATGATAAACCTCCATAGAGCCATTTAGTGAAGATTGCTGTGCTGTGAACCCAACACTGAAAGGAAACTCGTATTTTTTCTGCTAAGACTATACAGAGAGTTGAGTTGAGTCCCAAGTGTTTGGGACCAAAATTCCTGTACTTGTTTTGTGTCCATTACTGCTATTTTTCATTCCCTTTCATAAGAAATTAAGCCAAAGAAACTTTCTCTTGAAAGCTACTGAGTTACTCAAGGACCTTACAGCTTTCACTCCAATTGAGCATGTGCACCATCTAACACCAATTTTTTCACCTTAAAAGCCATTATGAAGCAAAAAGTTAAGATATCTACAACTAGTCACTGAAGAGTCCACTGTGGTTCATAATTCCTTTTTGCAAAGCTTTATTCCCTAACACCATCCTAACACAAAGCAGGTACTGCTCATACAGGAATTCCAGTAACTGACAAGGTGTTTTTCTCTGCTACACCACACTGCCAGCAATGCAAAAAGCTTTCCATCAGACCCTCACTGCCCACTATTATTTGCACTCTCTATCAAACCATTACTTGGCAATGTAAAGAAGGACAAACTCTTACTTGAACTGGCAGAAAATATCTGCATATTCAGGCAGGATGCCGCTGGCCTGCAGCACTGTCACACGGAAGGTGAACACATTGCCCAGTTTCAAGTGATCACCAATTTCCTCAGTGAATCCTTCCATAGTCATTTTTCCATCCAGAGTGGCTGACTTCAAGTCTTAGGGAGACACAAACATCCCACATGAAATCACTTTTTTCTTTTTCTCCTCCACTCTGCCCTTTCTTTTATTAAAATATTCCTTCAGGAACAGTTTAGTCCGAACACACTTTTTTGTTTTGCTTTTAAGCCCAAATTATTTGCTGACAATCAAAAGATCCAAATACCTGGGAACAGTTGTTTCTGCACGGTTCTTCACTTGAGTAACTCCAGCACGTATCACATGCACAACCCATCAGTTACACCTCTCCCTACCCATTATATTCTTCAGGTATACTCAGAACTCCTTTCTGTCACTGACTGACAGTGTCCCAGATTTCCCTTCAGTTCTCCAAAACTACTGTATATTTCTTGCTTACCTAGCTCATTCATTCTGTTGATCTCCTCTGGAGGAGTTGTAACCTCTGAATTCTGACCTTGCCCTTCCACAATTCTTAATTCTTCCAGTGACAGCCCAGAGCGAGTCATTGCAACTGAAGAAAAATCACTCTGAAAAAATTAAATGAAGTGGCATGTAACAGACTCTGGTTTTGACATCCCTTTCTTCCGTCACAATACTTATTCTTTATTTAGAAGCACAAACTACTCACTCAAGGAAACCTAAGTCAATTTTAAGACTTCTTTTACCTTATCAAAATACTCATTGTCAAATGAAATTTTAGCTGTGCCAGACTGTCGAATGCCAGATCCATAATCTGGGGCTTCTTCATCAGCTGAAAAACAGAAAAGGAAAACACAGTGATGGGAAGGAGAGGGGAAAAACCCTCAGAGTTATCTACATGGAAATTCTGATTACAATGGAAACCAGTCTGTAAAGCAGAAGAGGCCTGGTCCCAGTCAGGCAATAACAGATTAGAGGAAGTGCTGGGAAGAATCACAGCAGAAGTCTGTCCACCATGAACTCAAGTGTGGGAAAACAAGACAAGCTCTCAAGTTTCATAATGAATATACTTAACGTTAGAGAATGCTGAATGCAAAACCAACCTTACTACTCATTTTGATTATTTATGATTCTGATTATTATACCTGAGATAAATTAACATACCATAATGCAATGACCAACATGGAGTGTATACTTACATTGATTTAAAGTGCCATCTAAAATTCTGTAGCCATAAACTAAGCAGTAACAGTAGCAAGTGTTACAAGTGCATGCTCTAAGTTTGAAAAGTGATCCTGTCTATATAATCTGTCCATCTAACCTCCTCCTCTTTGTGGAGAGGAACAATGAGGCCTGCTTGAACACCAGGTATTCCTTCCACAGTAAATGCATGTTTGCAGGAGAAATCCCAAGATTCAGAATGTGTTCCAAAGCTTTGCTTAGGGACCAAATAATGCCAGGCCCTCTTTCAAGAGATGTCCCCAGTTAAATTTCTATTAGCGATGGTGTATTCTATTTATATGGATGAATAAATAGAGTATTTATTTGGAAACACTTGGTCAATGCTAAGGAGACCAAACCAAACTAGAAATGAGACTTCTGTACACATTAAAAGAGATTTTATTTCACTTGCTGGTTTAGTCCATGCCAGAGTGATTCTTACACTTCTTCAGAGTCTGAGATTTCACTATAGCTTCCCATGGAGAGTGAAACTTCCAGGGCTACCCTACCTAAAGAATACAGATATGTTGGCAGTTAGCCACTGCTAAGAAGGACAAATTATGGGAAGTATGGACAAGACATGGCTAACTGCCAACAGTAAAACTCAACTAGCTCACCTCATACTGGAAAAGTGTAATACATTAGCTGCTGACTAGCAGACTGCAGTTAAGCTCTGGCACACATACAACAGCAGTGCAAAGCTGGATGGAGCAGTTACCATCCCCATGTATCTACCTTTCTCTTCTGAAAAGTTGGTAATTCTTGGTGATTAAACAGTACGTTAAAGCAGCTTCTAAGTCCCAACACGTTTCAGTGAGGCAATGAAATAGAAAACTGGTGCAAATTTCTCTTCATACCGTGCTTATACTGTGTGTCAGAAAGAAAACCTCCACTTGGTTTTTAGCTTTTAACTTACTGACAGTAGTCAGCCCTTTCACTGTCTTCAAAAGCAGTGTGGTATTAATTGCCAGATAAAAACTTCAGAGGTCAACACCATCATTTTTAAAGCTTCTGATCAGTAGCATTATTTCAAGATGCATTCATGCATGGTCCATATGATTCACACCAATGGAAAAAAATCAAAAGCAAGTTAATAACAAAGAACAAGAGTTCTTTGCAACACTGAAATTATTCAGGTTTGAGAACAGAAGAGAACGGTTTGATTCGTTTGCCTGTTTTTTCAAAGCTGCAACTGTTCATAGCATACCAAAGAGGTGCAACATAAAGCTCAGAGTGTCTCACCTGCTATAGCTTGAACTGCCACCCGCAGAAATCCTCGTACTTCTCCTTTCTCACTGACAACAGCTACTCTGTGAATAAGAGGCACCGGGTACAGCAGATTGCTCAGGTATACAAATGCTCTGGTAATAGGAAGGAAAGAAAAGACAAACAGCATTAGGCAAACATCTGCAAAACCAGACTGCAGTATTTGGTTGGCTAATGGGACATTCAAATCTTCAGTCTACTTTACTCCACCTATTAGACCTGCACTGTGGCCACGTATCCATATTGTCCACACAGGGCTCTGCAACAGTGTCAAAACTAAGTGAAGCCACAAAATGCTCTAAATGAGAGTATACGGGAGACACAGGGCTTATATTAGTGAGTTACAGAACGTATGAAGGACACAATTGAAGATGATGGCTTGATAGAAGGTAATTTTAGATGTACTACAGTTGTAAATGGACCCGTTAGCAAGATGGTAGAAGTCTACTTAGGAGCTACTGATTATAAAGAATTGTTTGAGTTTTCCACCCCGTGAGTGGTTTGAAGTGATTAATTAAAAGGGAATTGATCTGCTGTGTTCACACAGCCTCAAATATTTTAGTGAACATATAAAAAGACCCTTCAAAACAGACTGACTGAATGTTTTCTCTACGTTCATTTGATAACACCATACAGAGAGTAATCAGAAACCCTCAATAAACCATAAGTCATCTCTTAGGTTTCTGGGAAGATTCACTGGGTGCATGGATAGTGGAAGACCGATGGTCTCCACAGCTAAATATCTTTAGGAGTATTATATTTATTTCTTGTTTATAAAAACCAAAGGACACAACAGAACTCTCAAGCAATCATTTAGAAATTACAATTAAAATAGGAAAAGCACCATTTAGGCCCAGTACTGGATGATCCTAGCATAACCTTTGAAGTTATAATCAAGCAGGGTCTGTTTTGCAACAGTAAGTTAACAAATTTTATTGTACAGAGTTTTAATTAAATGTTACACTAATGTTATGAAGTTATTTAACATTTCTGCAACGAATTGCAACGTTCTTAGAACACCACACTGCAGTGTGATGAGAAAACTTTAGATGTTGAGAAGCCCAACAGGCCAGGTACAGTATGTCTCTCAACAAGGGGAACAAATGAAAGGCTTGATTTAAGGGAGCTGTTTCAGAGTTCAGAAGAGTGCTCAGATCCATAGAAGTTTACCCAAGAGTTTGACCAGTTATTACATTTAAAGTGACTAAGCAATTAATGAATTTATGTATATTAAGTTATACTAAACACCAGTCATTTGTTTAAGGTTTCCTTCTTGCAGTCCTTTTTATTAGTCTTTATTATTAAGTATAGTTAATTGCTCAGATTTATAACTGTTGTTGTTTAATATTCATAGGGCGAGTCCTGCATGACAGAAGAGGACTGAGAGAGAAATGAAGATGTTCACTGCCTCCGCCTGGAGACATCAGCTATGGAATTTGTTCTGTGAACACAGCAAGACTGATCCAAACTCAATTCCTTGTGACACACAGCTAAGGACCAGAGCTAGAAAAGGTGAGTGTTTCTCCTTGGGTTCACATGCCCGTTCCCAGAATGAATGAATTCTCTTGAAATGACAAGGTAGTCAAACAGGTGTCAGTTGTGAACCAAAGGGACAAAAACAATGCTACTAAAAACCAAAGTGGTGACAAAATGCAAAAGAGAAGAGAATGATTAATAAGGCTATAAAAGTAACAAAACAAAAAAAAAAAGAACAAAACCATACAACAACAACAAAAGAACAACTGCAACGTAACACTTGACTACGATTAGGATCTAATTCCTCTTCAGTCTGCTCCAAAGTGAGGTAAGCACCGATAAAGCAGGGGAAGGGAGGGAGAAGAGACTAAATTTAAAGTAACAAAATTGAATGTTTAATTTCTTTCTTTTAATTTTCCCTCAAGAAAACCTTTTCAATTTTAGCTTTGCGATTGCAGGTGGTGCTCATTTGAGAAAGCAGCCTCCCACCAGAAAGCAAACAGTCCCTCACACTAACAAACTGGGATCCTTCACTTGAACTGGACCAGGGATGGAGCTCAGGAAGGTATGTAGTTATGTGTTCAACACGGAAAACACACGCAGTTTGAAAACCACATTTCAAGCTAGGGAGAACGGACATTTTTCCCCAACAGAAAGGAATCTAAGTAGCTTTGCATTGATGCATATGAGACAGCTTCACTAATTAAAAGAGGCAGTCATTACGGAAGTATTCCTACTTCAAAGCCAAACTAGTGGAAAGCATTAACTGCATGGAAAATGAAAATAGATATTTATTTGCATGGCTAAAGTTCCAAAGCTGCTGTTCAACACAGGACAGACAGAGCATTCAGCTTTGTGGGCAACTCCAATTTTGTCAAATCAGTTCAATGACCATCCCAAGGGAAAAAAATAGTATTTCTCATCTTCCTTAACTTCCCTCCATCCAGCCACCTGGAATCAGTTCAACTTAGGGAAAAAAAGCACATCATGCAAAAAGTTTTAAGCCTCCTGCTTGGTGCCGAAAATGCTGGATCTCTTCTGCAGAATGGAGAGCAAGAGCACATTTGCTGTACAGAGAAAAGAGCTGGTTTATGCAGCAATCCTGCCTTCCTGTGCCATTCCATCTGCTTCATCACAAGACAGTACCAAGTTCGGAGTGGATGAAATGTTAAGGCTCTCCTCCTCCTCTTCCCACACCTGGGAGCACTCCCACTCCCCCAATATCCTATCTGCAAGTGTCCCCCTGCACCTTAGCCCAGCAGACTGAAAGAGGGGGAGCTGTATTAGCAGAAAGATTGGTGAGGTAAATGGCATACTCACAACAAAACTAGAACTTAAATTTAACAAACACAAATTTCTTTAAAATAAAAAGTCAAAACAAAACCAACAGAACTCAGAATGATGACAGAGATTTTTTAAATAAACACATCAAGATTTAAATAAAATAACCCATAGACCTTTCCCACCTCCCTTAAAAACATAGCAAATGCTTGCTATGTCACACCACTAAATAGAATCAGCCTTAAAGATAGCCCAGCATGCCAGAAGAGATGGCTAAAGGGACCAGCTCTTTGTTCTCTTTCTCTTTGATAGGCACAAATAAGACAGTCACAGCACAGAGAGAGATGCCCAAGGAGTTGGATAACTACATGAGCAATTCCTCCTCCTTCTCTCCTTCATGACCTGGACTCATTATTGCTGATAACCCCCCCAAAAATATTAAAACCGATTTTATTTCTGTCCTACACATTCCACAACATACAAACCAGTCCACAGTTTAAAGTGTTAAGGGATTTGGGGTTTGTTATAAATTCAGTGCTACCTTGTACTCAAGACAATATGTACGTAGATGGACATACCCTCAGATATTTGTAAGTCACACTGTTCAGAAGCAGAATTCTAATGCTGTAAGACACTGAGGAATCAAATTAGTTTCTACTCAGTGGTGCTAAACAGCCTAACTGCTTTCTGTGACAGAATCAGCACAAAAGAAGACCAAAACAAGAACAGAAACAGAAGAGAAACCAACATCTGCTGTCTACTCAGAGATAATACAAACGAAGTTTCACTCATCAGTGCAATCTACAGCCCAAGTAAAGTTCTTTACTATGTGCAGTTTGCACAGTTTAGGCTAACACCCTTAACTGCTGCAGCTTCGTATGTCTGGCTGTAGAGACAGAGCTCAGTACTCTTTTTAATACATGGAAATGGGAAGCAAGTTGTGTAACTGCCAGGAAGCACGACTGTTTCCATTGTACACTCTTATTTGCTCAGCTTGTGTTGTGCTTCCTGAAGAGTTTGTGAAATGAAGATGAATAGCTCAACTTTTTCCCAAGCACTGAAGGTCCCACTCTGAAAGGACACACACAACAGGAGAGTGTGCTGGGATGCCAGCACTGGTACCAGAAAGCAGTCCCAGCCATTGCAAACAGCACACATATGCTGTGAGCAGGTGATGACCACATCCAAGCCAGTTAAGATGGTTTTCCCAAACTGACTCTTGTGGATCGGATTAATCTGAAAGGATTAAGTTTTATAAAACACATTATCAGACATTGCACATAAGGGCACAAATTCACAGAGATCAAAGAGAATTAATGCAATTTCCTGCAACATTAGTAACTAATTTTTGTTTCAAAGACTAGATCAAGGAAGTTCCAAGTTTCAATCACAGCTTATAAATAGGTCCACTACAAAGAATGAAGTTAGACAATACAGCTAAACTGATCTAAAAGCTTGGTAAAAAGACTGACAAACTCAGTCCCTCATTTTCATAAATAATACAAGGAAGTTTCCTGCATTTGAGGAAACTGCAAAAAGAACCTGCCTTCCTGACCATGAAGTCTTCCCTGCTTCATCACAGAAAAGGAAAAAGGCAAGCTCTTGCACTCTGTTTTATGCAACACCTGTGGTAACCACCTCCCTTAGTGTTTTAACATGTAGATTGGCTTACAGAGTGATCAAAAAGGCATAACTGGGGGAGTGGGAGCAGAAGAGAGGGGAACAAAGTCACTAAATAACATGTTTCTTGTCATGAATAACATGTTTGTGCAAGATGATCTGTGAAGAAACAGTGCAAAGTACCACATTTTTTAATGCAGCTTGACCTTTCACTATGTAATACTTGCTACCAAGAGTCACGCATCATCTGAGAAGCCAAATCATCTCAAAGAATACTCTTTTCCTCATCCAGAAAGGACCATTCTTCTTTCTCCTCGTGCCATCTTTTCTCTTCAGAAAGAGGATGTTACATGAGTTTTTAAAAAATGCATTTATTGGGTTGGACTTAAACAAAACTTTCCACCATACTCTGAAATTCTCTTCTATGGGAGAAAACTACATGCTACAGTAGCAGTAGCTCAGTGATCTTGCAATGGCTAAATAGAGCATTCTATAAATAATGCTCAAATAGTCTACACAAGCAAAACCACGTTTGTTCTATGTTGTGACAGTTCTCTAGAAATAGATTTCCTCATATTGTCACATCTAAAGGTTATTTTCTCCTTATTTAGGTCTTCATGGCCTCTGACATGGGAATTTAAAACTGAATGTTAAACTACACTCATTCTCTGGCCATTCCAATTTATGTATATAGATATTTTGGCTGGCTTGACAGATATTCTGTGCAGCACAAGGCAAAGCCACTGCAGTGTACAGCAAGAGCTGGTCCCTTTTGGCCATTCTCACAGTAACCTCACCAACCTTCCCACTAAAATGAACCAAGGGGATCGGTCGTAAAACGGGTCGCGCCCATCATTGAAGAGGTCTGATCCCTCCTCAGTTCCAACGTCGGAGCCAGTATCATCCACAAAGGCCTCATCATCAAAGTCCTCCATCTCATCCTGCTGTTCATCAGCCAGTTCAGTGATGTCGGAGTCAGCCGTGGAGAAAGTGGGGGAGGGCGTGCGATCAGCAAGACGCTCATTCACGCAGCCATGGAATATGGGGGAGCTAGATATCAGTTAATGGAATACCAATTAACAGGGGGAGGGGAAAGAGGAATGCTTCATTTAACAGCCGTCTGCTGCCAGCAGCACAGAGACCACCTGAACAACAAGCAAAGGCTTCAAACCATCTGGACTGCAATGAAATGTAAAGGAAGGGCTTGCTAACAAAGTTGGGAAGGAGAGCATCCTTGAACTGAGCAGAAAGCAAATGAAAAGTGAGTATATACATGGCTGAACATACAGTTATTGAGAGCACACCCATTTAACACAGCTACAATTCTTATTTCCAACAGGTAGCATTTTTGTAAATAAAAAATACTGTAAAGGTGCATCTGACATCAGGAAATATTAAAGAATCCCATCAAATATTAGATATGTCCATAGGGTTTGACCAAGCTATTTGAACCACATACATTAAGAAAGGCTCTGGACCACTTTTCCTCTCTGTTTCCAGTGTTGTTCATTATTCTCACAGCTCTGCTCCAGTGACCTCAGATAGAGCTTAGCTACAAATAAACTTGTAACTTACTAAGAGTTCAACCAAATCAGGTTCTACAAGGTTACACCAGAACTGGCAACACTCTGAACAGAGTATTTTCTGCTCTTTACTACATTTTAAGTCTATCAGAAATCCCAGAAAGACACCACACACAACTAAAACTAGTGGCCACACAGTTTATAACCACATTCAAAGGCAAAGTTCACCCTGAGCTGACAAGAGTTACCAGTGCACCAGCAGTTGAGATCATGGTCACGTACCTCCCAACAAGCTTGAACCAATGAAAGCGATCGTAGAAGGGGTCGCTGCCTGTCATTGTGCTTTCACACTCCTCCTGGGTATTAGATGCCATCTCTCCAGCTCTGTCATACATCTCCCGCATCAGGTCCAACCTCTGCCTGTGTAGGAGAAAGCAGGAGTTAAAAATTAATAGAGAGTGAATAAAAAAAAGGCAGAGAACACTAAGTGGGGTTACCCTGGTTTCATCTATACCTAATTACACATAGGAAAGAGAGAATAAAGAACAGAGGAGTCTATACTCCAAAGTTTGGTATTGTAGTGATTCTCTGACATATTAGGGATTCTGGGAACAATTCTGTAGCTAAAACTGCTAAACACAAGGCAAGGTCACTGCAGAAGCTTATGTAGATTTCAGATTTCATTCAAACTTCTAAATATTCTTCTTAAACATCCAATACCTGCATAGTTTTTTGCTTCCTTTTTTGCATCAAAGTTGCTGAGTAACCTAGGCAGTTTTTTGCATTCCACTCCAGAAATGTTGGCATTTTAATTCAAAAGTGAATGGATTCCATTACAGACTTTTAGTTATTTATTTATTTTAGTGAAGAAAACAAGTGTTTCCCACTGCAAGATCCTTCATCTGGAAATCATTAGTAGAAGAACAAGTTCTTCAGTCAGTATTTAGGAAAAGACAAATGTCTTTTGCCTATTTGTAAACATGTGATGAAAATTATTCAGATTACAGCCAGAATCTGTGTTATCTTCCATAGAAATAAAGTCTTTATTTAAGCTTGTTCTAAATTATGCTCTACACTGCTAGATTTTATAAAAACAGGCAGCAGGAAACTATTGCAGTGAAAGGAATGAAAACCATTATGCACAGATGAGCTGTGATGAGCCTTATTAGATTTAAAAATAAAGTCTAACCTTAAGTGACAAAAATTAAATGTGGAGGCAAGGTAAGATACTGGAGAACAAATGCACTTGTCTAAAGAATCGAGAAAGCTGGGATGTAAAACATACCACACTGTCTATAAAGTTGGCAGTTGGGAAGACAGAGAAAAAACAAGTACAACAGAGAATGAACAGCAAAGGGTGACATTTTTCAGTGAAGCTCTTTGGATATAAGGAATTTTGTTCTTCACTATTAGCTACATACTTGAGTTTTTCTAAGGACCAGTAATGCGTTGCTCCATTCTTCAGATCCTGTACTTCCACAGCTACCACTGTACGGGGGAAAGGCCTATTGTCCCGGATCTTCTCCAGCTCAGTGGGCAGAAGCTCTGGTGGCAGGGGTGAGTAGAGGGTGTCTGTCAGCAGCACAAACTGAAACTGCACCTGAAAAGAAAAGGAAATATTACTTTAGTTCTGAGAGTCAGGTATCAGCACCACAAAGGGGACGGACACCTCATTTAAGGCAACGTATGAAGCCAGTTTGACTTACATCTCTGTGAACAGATTCAGGGCTTTTTATACATCACTTTCCCCCCCGCTCAAAATGGCATAAAGCATATTTTTCAGCTTAATACAAGTATTTTGCCTTTGTCACAGCTGGCAGATGTCTGGAAAAACTATAGAGCTAGCACATCCTGCAGCACCCACCTCTCTTGGGAAGATGAACGACCACATGAAGTCAAAAGCAGAAAGGAAAAGACAGGGCCCTGGGGAGACGTATATGCACATGTGCTTATGATATTGACAGGAACAGCACAAGGGAAATGAAGAAGAGGAGAATATATCAACCAGATTTGCATGGGACTATGTTCAGTGAGCCAGAAGCCTGAATCAGAGGCTCATGATTTTCTGAACCCTTTCAAAGCCCAAACTAATAAGCAAGAAACATGTAACTTTAAAGACTACAAGTAACTCTAAGTGTTTGAAGCAAGATTATACAGTCAAAACTGATGACTCAGAAAATTCAAAAAGCTACTCTGCATGTCCCTACCTTTTTCTTTAATTCTACACTGATGGCATTGGCTTCTTTCAGATACACTGCATTTCCCCAGAGTTGGTCCCTCAGTGAAGTAAACTGATGGAATTTCCACTTCCTGAAAGCCCACTGTGCAAGTTCGTACTCATGTCGTGTCCAGGGCACTAGGAAGAGCAAAGAAACAGAGAAATAAAGCACTGTGACTTCTCTAAACCACCACATGCAGTATCTAGTACTACTGCTGACTGCACCATCAAGTTCTCAACATCTTTTCTGGAAGGAAAGAACAGAAAACAAAGCCCTGCATTTTCATTATTCAGTGAGGAAAAACCAGATTCCTCACCACTAGCAGTGGAGATATAATGATCAAGTAAGGAGATTTGGAACAGAGAAAACAAAGTAAATCCTACTCTTATTATTTTCAATTAGTTAACAATTTTTGAAGCCAAATGCTGAAACAGTGGAATGAAAGCAAGTATTATGGGAATAATAAACTCTAACTACTGTCAGAAATGGAGTTAAACACACATGTCACAACATGAATTCCAAGAATTCCTACCAAAGAGCAAAAAGAAACTTCAAAATCAAAACCAGGAAACAAAGGCAACAACATTATTTGGTTTAGGACATCTGAACTCTGTGAGAGCCAAGAGAGAGATTCCTTCAAGTTCAAGACTACCAAATCAAAGCTTATAGTTAAAATAATCTTTTTTGTGCATCTATTGAATTTGGGGATGTGTATCTACTATGTATGTGGAATTTATTCTACGAATAGGGATTTTACAACTTTATGCTGTGAAGATTATAGATCAAGAAATTATGAAGTACTTCACAGCTTTCCAAAGTGAGTTTTCTATCTATTGCAAAGATACTACAGCAACTGTTCCTTTAGGCTTGGATAAATCCAAATTACTTTTAGCTTCAAACTCACCTTCTTCCTCCTCTTCTTCCTCCTCTGTTGTTTCAGCTGCCAAGGATCTTGTCTCTACCTGCTTCTGTAGGGCCTGCAGCTTACTCTCATAGTCCTGTGGGGAGAGAGGAGATACCGTGTAGGAGGACAGACAAAAGCAAGGAGAACAGTTAAGAGAGACTAACACCTCAGATGGAATGACAGAGACAGAAAAAATACATAAAGATATTTTCATTAATGCTCAGAGATCACATACCAACACCTATTGTTTTAGTATAATCTGTCCTTGAAAAGAGAGAAGCCAGGCCGATACAATTAACATAGCAGTGTTGTTTAAAATCATCAGATACACATGCTCATAGTATCTGTAAAAGGTAAAAGGTTTAGGATTTATGTTTTGCTGAAGACTGGGAAAAAGGGATTTTTTTGGGGGGAACCTGCTTGCTGCTTTCAGGAAAAAGGCAGAAATAGAGAAAAGTACAGAAATAAATTTAAAAGGGGAGGATTATTCACCTGCATTTTCTCAAACAGGAGGACTAACAGCACCACTGATTTGCCTTTTGATACAAAAAAGGTCATTTCAGTTGGGGGAAAGACATTGTTTTCAATTAGATTTTCCTCTTGGAATGCAAGCAGCATTCTCACATGTGTATTTAATATATCAGAAGATGAAAAAAATACCACCACCCTGGCAAGTGGGCAGAGAAGTCTGTGCAGAGGTTTCCCCACAAGGAGCGCTTCAACAATACCTTCTGGTGTAAGAGCATTTTCTTCTCATTCAGCACAATTCTGCCTTGAAATAAATGCTACTAAGACCTAATGACTGTTTTATTATTTGGTGCTAAAACAAATACAAATTCAGGATATTTAGAACAGATCCTGGTCTCAGAGTCTACCTCACTGCTGTATTTTATTGAAGATACGAAGATAATCCTTTGGCATTTATTACACAAATTAAACTGGCTTCTCAAGATTTTTATCCAAGAGTTGCAACTTCTTAAGGAGAATTCTTGAAGCCATTCATCTTGTACTCCAACCTTCTCTCTTCCACAGAGCCAATTCCTAAAATTCCTCTCCAATGCACTGTTTGCAGTAATGCGTTCCTAAGTCTAACAGCTATAGAAGGAATGCTTTACATTTTCCTCCCATCCTGTTTAAGCATTCCACCTAAACAGCTACATTACTTGTTTCTATACAGTAAGTACAGTTCTTCACACTGCCACAATGTGATTGCATCAAATTTAACCCAAGTTCAGTCAGAAAGACCTTTAGACAGTATTTGGAAATGAGATAAACTGAAGTATGTTCCTTTAAGTTTCTATTCCCTGGAGGTAGCATTAAAAAATGGTAGGTGTGCTCTTCAAAAGTACAGAATCTTCAATATACCATGAATTTAATACCCATGACCTATAGGGAGAGAAAACTGAACTATTAAAGATATACGGCCTTTGTGTGAGGGCTATGTTTTAATTTTCTTATTTTCTCTTGAAAGTTTGTTTGCTCCTTCTGCATCTGTGTCTGTTCCATTCACTCCAAGATGGCCACATACTTACAGTGTAGGTAAACCTTAGCCCAGCAGCAAAAGAACTACAAGCAAAACAAACATACATCCT